CCCTCAACCTGAGTCTCTCCCTGCCAGACGAGCTCTTCCAGAAAGTGGCGGAGGATTACGTCAGCGTGGCCGGCTTCCAGGTGATGACAGGTGCGCTCCCCCCCCCCGCCCCCCGGTTCTGGTTCTCGGCTCCTGCGCCCCCCACCGTGGCTCAGCTCCCCCCCTCTCTTTGACAGAGGACAAGGGCGTGGATCTGGCGCAGAAGGCGAACCCCTACTTCTACAGCTGCTGCCACCACTGAGTCAGCCACCCGGTGCGCGGCCTGGGGAGTGAGGGCGCGCGCCCTGCGGGGCCACCCCGGGTCTCCCCGGCGGCGCTGGCCCGGGGCGGGCGGCCCGGGCTGCCCGGGGCCCAGGCCCAGGCCCAGGCCGATCCGGGCCTCGCCCCGCAGCTCTGCGTCCACAGACTATTTAAGTGGCTTCTGATCTGTAAATAAAATCAGTGCACTGTGACTCACCCGCAGCCCCTCGCCGCGGCGGGCCGGCCGCCCTTGCATTGAGAGCCATGTCCCCTGGCCTCGGGGTCCCCTGGCCCCCCATCTCCACCCCATCTCCAGCTCTTTTTTTGTGGGTGAGCGCCTGGGCAAGGGCAGCGCCCCCCCTCCTTCCAGGTGCTTTGGGGAGGGGGACCCCCCCAGAGATGACAAGGACAGCCGCTGGGCCTACGACCTGGGGTCCGGGCAGCACGGCCCAGGCCCAGGGCCCGGAGCTGGGCTGGGAGCTCCCCAGGGGTTCTGTGATGGGTCCCGAAGCAGGTCCGCGGCAGATTCCAAGTCAGGCTGGAGGCGCTCACCGCCGACGGAAAAAAAGAAAAACCAACAGAAACCCTCCAGCCTGAGCTGCTCACTCTAAATAAAACCCTGCTCAGAATCACGGATGCTCCAAGTGAATATTGCAGGGGGCAAATGCTTTCGCAAGGAGTTAAGCAAAAATGTCCTGTGTGTAAGGCGCCCCGGCGGTAGCCGCAGGAGGGAGCTTCCAGGCCGCCCAGCACGAGGAGGTGCAGGTGCATCGCAGCCCTGCTCCTGTGAGGTGTGGCCAGCCGGGGTGCAGGCCTGGCGGCGGCCCTGGCATTCACCCCCAGCACTGGGGAGGCCAGGCCAGAGGACTGTGGTTGGAGAGCGGCCTGCACTCCACAGCCGTTCAAGGCTGGCCTGGATCACACACCTTGCCTTAGGCTTGTCAAGTGCTTTGCTTTCACTTCTTACTTCTTGGTTTCACTTCCTTAAGAACCAAATTCCTCAAAAGCCCTTCCTTCTTCACCACCACCCCGCCCTGCCCCGGGGCCAGGTGTGTGGCCCCCGCGGGACTCGGGCCCCTGGTGACCAGCCGGCTAGCAGCACTCCGTTCCGCTGGTGCCACAACTGCTCCACCCAAAGCAGTGCCCGGGCCTGGGCCCCCCACAAAACACCACAGGGCACCGGGCAGAAGAGTAAAGTTAAACTTTACTTTACAGTATTTTTTTTCTATATACAAAGAATTACAGTACATGTTTATGGGGACTCCTAGCACAGGGCTCCCCTCTTTTTCACTAGGAGTTCCATATCCAGCTGATGATCTGTAAGGACAGGGGTGGAAAATTGTGATGGATCTTGGTTGAGCCTCCCGCCCCTGTCCCCCTTTCTTAAAAATATATAGATCTCTTCTCAGTTTGCTTGCTTTGCCAAGACCTAGAATGCTGCTCTTGCACGAGCTCCTGCTTGCTGCACCCACCGCCTTCCGCACGCACGCACGCACGCATGCACGCACACACACCAAGCAGCACCTCAGCCAGGACGCCAGCGGCTCTGCTCACCCTGGAGCCCTAGTGCCCGAGCGCTGCTTCTCCACTCCCAGCCAGGCCTAGCCCCGGCCTGCACGGCCGATGCTCTCAAAGTCCAGGGAAGGCGGCGCTGGGGAGAAGACCACAGATAACTTTCACTCGCGTTGGTAAGGAAACATTTCTGAAGTGGTGGGTTTCTAACTAAAATAAACTCTGTCCACTTCCTGAAGTCTCCCCACCCCCCCGCAATCTGCAGGAGCGGCAGGGGTGCTCCCGTGACGTCATGGAGGGGCCTCCGCCTGTGGAAGGTGGAGGGGGGGTTGGGGGGCAAGGTGATCCCTGATAAAAGCGGTTGCCCCCCCCTGCCCATCCTCCCACCCACCCCTGGACTGTGCGGGGCCGCGACAGGCCTGGGCCCTGCCTTGTCCCTGCCCCTCTTCGCAAGAAACCCTCCTACATGAACAAAATCAAACCTTTCCTCCCGAACAGAAAGCCAGGACTCTTAAGTCACCAAGTCCCTCGACACTTGGCAGTGCTTATTTATACGTGAAGTTAGCACCATCATTACTGTTTGTGTAGGAAGCGATTATCTACTCTATTGGGATTGCATTTCCACCACAGCAGCCTCAGGGGGGGCCGGGAGCTGCTGGCCGGGGCTGACCACCCGGAATGTCTAACAGAGAACCTGACACAGGGTGCAGCTCTTCGTCTGCTGGGGCCTTGGGGGGAAGTCATCCCCACCCCCCCACGAGAGAGTGACACCATCCCAAGAAAAGTCACTACGGGAGGGCGGGGCGGGCACGGGCCTGCGGCTCTCCTGGCCGCTCTGCACGGGGAAGCGCCGGGTCAGGCCTCCTCCGGCACTTTGGATCCACTAGGCAACAACCGCAGAATTCAGCCGGGGAGTCCAGCGCCAGTGAGCTGAGCAGGCCTGGCCCGGAAGGCTCGCTTCCTTCCTTCTCTGGCCGTAGTGTGGCGTGGAGGAGGTGACAGAATTCTACCAATGCTGAAGATGGGGGTGTGGTTCGGAGGATCAGACACGGTGATTGCAGGGTCATCCGCACTGAGCGAAGTGAGAGGCGAGCAGATGTCTGAAAGCACGGCGGCCATCTTCGGCTAGCACGGGCTGGCTCGGGCGGGAGGGACGGATGGGTCTTTGCAGATTTCCGCAGTGGACGCGGCACGGATGGGGGGCTGTGGGGCACGCTTCAGCTTTGGCTTGCCACTAGAAGTGACCTCCGGGGAGCTGGCTTCACACTGTCCCCATTCCCCAGCAGCCACACAGCACTAGAAGTTTGTAGAAGACTTTTCTTTTGGAACTGCCCGCTCACAGCTCTGGAAGGAAGGGCCTTGGCGCACACAGGCTTCCCAAGTCTGAGAGGGGCTGCAGGATCGCCCTCTCCCCACCTTCACACGCACGTCGTTTTCCAGCCGTTGGCGCTCTGCTCCCAATTGCACTGTGACTCTGGCCATGATCTCGTGTGACGCGATGGTGCATTCAGTGTCTTCGGCAGCTCGAACCTCATCTTTCCGTTCGGGAATCTAGGAGTCTCTCGGTGTCCCTGAACAGAAGCTTGGCTGTTTAGAAGAACTACCCCCCACCCCGCTACGATAGCGTACACAGCGCAGAAGTTGTGCTCACAAGCAGATCTGGAGTGAAGCCTCCATGAATGTTGCAGAATGCGAAGAACCAAAACAAAACCACCGAGTGGCCCATCTCAGCCCCCATCCCTCACTCCCTCTTGTCTGTGAGAAATTTCTAGATAGCTGTCAAAGCCAATCACCTAACCAAATCCTACCGTGGAGAAGCTAGTTCAGGATCAAACTTCTCCGTTAAAAATTTTATATAGCCTGCACCCCCCCCCACCAAAAGAATTCACAGTTTATTTCATGAGACAAAGAGCTACGGTAATCAAACACACGACAGTGAAGGATTCTGACGGAGCAGTGCAGGTATCGTTTTCCGATCACAACTACAGATGACAGAGCAAAGGGCACAGGACTGGCACCAGGCAAACCTACTCACACGACCTACGCGATTAGGAAAGGGGCTACTAGCTGCAGTTATATACTTATTATTCTCACACATGATAAATACTTAATATAATGAACTTTAATGTTCTGGATGAATTTCTTTAAAAATATCTTTCTTGTGGTTTAAAATCTTTAAAAACAAAATAAGATGCTTTATGCTTGCTCTTCCTTTTGAACGAAGAGCTTTTTCCTCTCTGCCAATGTGGGAGGAGAGAAGATAAAAGGGGGAAGCAGGCAGGGGGAGCTCACGGAGGAGACCCCGAGGTCTCGTGAAGTGCGGGGACTGGCCCCGAAACCTGGGCCAGCCCTGCCTGAGCTCAAGTGTCTCAACCCCAGAGACAGACTTTGGGAAGTAAAAGCAGGTTCGATTCAGTTTTTATATAAAGCGCAAATGCTTCTGTAACAACTATTGTTTCTTCTCCTCGGAAGCGATGGGACTAACCTCGGTAGGCATGGAGGAGGAGGAGGAGGAAACGGGAGAGAGAGAATCTGGTTGAGGAAGCAGAAGCCATAACCAAGACAGAAGAGTCAGGAGATGTCTGGGCCAGGAGATGGCCTGTTGGGTAAAGCTGCTGGCTGGTTGGCAAGAGAGAGGTAAACACATTCGGTCCAGGGACGGAGGGCGGGGTGCAGGAGACAGCTAGCCACACAGCTTTTTTTCTGTTGGCAGTCAGTGAGCTGGGGAAATGGTAGGGCAGGCTAGCACCAACAGATTTCCCAGCCCTTGGGCCCAGCTCAGGGCAGCAGTAACAGATAATCAGCAGTTATGAGGAGTCGTCTCTGAGACTGGACATTGCTCCGGCCGCCACACCGCTCCATTCTCGGGGAAGGGCTCTGGCTGGCCTTGCTTAGGCTAAGGTGGCAGCGGGACCTCTCCCGAGAGCTCAGCAGGGCCTGACTCGCCCCTTCTCTCAGTGAGGAGGGCGGAAGACGAGGCGAGGAGAGATTTTTTTTTTTTCCCATCTAAAGCTGGCACTTTTCCTGACGCTGGAGCGTCTAGCTTGCCACACACTCCCTGTGCTCACTGCCCGAGGCTGAGATCTGAAAGCACCTGAGTGTTTGAAGGAATCGGGGAGGGGGTGGGTTCATGGAACAAGAGAAGAATCGGTGGAGAAGGAAGGGAAGCTTGCCCTTGACCCTGTCCACTGCTGGAAACCACCTTCTTAGAGCCCGGGTCGGCCTAGGACCCATTTCCAGACTGCGAGAGCACACAGGGGCAGAGAGGCACACAGAGCGCTTCCGGCTACAGGAGCGCGCACACACCCATGCACACGACAACCAGGCAATACTGGCTCAACAGACTTCTGTCCCGCCCCCCCCCCCCGCCTCCCCCTGCAAATAAAAACACGCCCCTCACTACTGCCCGCTGTTTCCTACTGCAGAGGATCTAGCGACAGCCCGGGAAACACGGCGGGCAGGCGAAGCTCCGGGGCACGGGCCCGAGGAGCTGCGTAATTTCCATCAGTGACCGGCCCCGGCCCGGGACACATGAATGATCGGGACACTGCCCCCCCGTGTGAACGGGCGAGTGTCAGCTCCTCCCGAGGGTCCACTGGCCGCCCTCCACGGGCTCTGGCGGGCCGGGAGAAGGCTTTGAGAGCCTCTGCCCTCGCCAGGTTGACCAGCGGAAGTGAATTCCATGCTCGACTCCACAGTG